TGAGCGCCACTTAGCACCTATTTAGCAACAGCTTAGCACTACTTAGCAAGAACCAAAACATCAGTGTATCATCGACATTGTTCTCATCCTAAACCCAAAACACAGCCCCATACCGGCTACCAAGACGAAAGTTAACTCTATCCCAGCTGAAACCAAGCACAGCCATACACTATGGAGGAGGCAATGCTCACTTCCAGTTTGAAGCCCATTTAAGCATCCCCAAGCCTCCCAGAGAAGCCAGTGAGCTCTGCATGCCTTGGGAGAACAGAGGCACAGGCCTCTAGTCTGTAGTTTTTAAGAGCTGAACTGACAAATATTTTAGTTTCCAAAACATAGATGTGAAAGAGCAAAAGCAACCAAAGCATTAGCGTCCCTTTGTATTGACTGACCTATTTTAATCCCACAAGCCAATCTACAGCATTTAACTGATCACTTCGAATCTGTAAGAAAGAAAAGGACCTTGGAAAGATCTGGTTTACAACTCTGAGCCGATGAGATATAGCAGCCAGGATCATCTTACATTATTGTGAAGTTATTTAGACAGCTAGAGCTGTTAGCCAGGCTGCAATGAAGTCAGTAATGTCAAAAGTAACATAGAAAACAGGAGTTTTCCCTGTTGAGAATATGGAGTTCGTGCCGTTAGTATGCAGAGCTGGATTTAGTTCAAGAGCTGCTGCCGTCATATTGGCTTTATGATATTTGCTTTGCTTCCAGGCATCACAATGTTGGAAGTTTCTCTCCAGCAGTCTAGCAGATGTCATGTCTGGCACATTTAGGCACCTTCAGATAAATGAAATCTCACGTAAGATGGGCTCCGGTGTGGTGCAAACACCTCTCGGATGGTCAACCGGGTCCATCTGAGCTGAACAGCATCCAGGATGAACTCCATCTGCTTTCCTCTACAGAGACCCACGCTGGGTGGACCTTTCCCACTGGTGAATTCTTTTCACTTCACGCAGGGTGTGAAGCAGCTGGACAATGATCTAAAAGCAACAATTAATGATACGAACTAAAAAAATCTGTGTTTGCAAACACGAATGTTTCCCAGCAGGCAGAAGCACTCTGTGTGGGTTTCCTCTTTGCAAGCATCCACGGACACCAAGGCTTAAATGAATCTGTGAAGCTGTGAACATGGTTTCTCGCCCTCTCTCTGATCCTTTGCATTAGGCAACCCTGCTGAAAATCAGTTCCACGCCCAGCGTGTACTGCAAAGCAAATACCAGTAACGAAGGAGGGGGGAAGGCAGCGGCACAACAGGCCGTAGGAGCCAGCAGGGGTTGAGCCCTTCCCTAGAAGCAGGCTCCGTCACTGCCAACGCAACCGTTTTCCTCCCGCCCAAAATCTCACCTGGCTGTCAGTGCATCAATAGGGGCTACAGACACACATGCAGCCAGGAAAAAAAAAAAAATAATCCCTCCTTTGGCTCTTCTCTCTCTTTAAGGGCTCAGAAAATCGAGCACATTGCCAGGCTTAATGAGTTATCACGTATCAGCTGAGCCTGGGCGACAGCACCCAGGACACACAGAGTCAATAGCAAACCCAAGATAAGACACATTAGCTCAAGCCTCAGTGATGGAGGTTTAAACTAATCCATTTAACCTTGAATTTACAATAGGTAAAGAGCATACGTGCAAATAACTGTTGCACCTCACCTTACACACGTTAAGCTGCGGTAATACATCTGCTTAGTCTAAGCTCCTTGTTTCCATTTCTGGATGGGTGGTGTTGGCACGACAGGGTTGAGACTCCCTTCTGAATCCAAATTCGGCATCACAGCACAAGAGAGAGGTCAAAACAAGGATTAAAAAGTCAGGCTGGTCCATAAGGACAGCGCAGCCTCCAGCAATGCTCACTAGGGATAAAGTATCGCAGGAACTTTTCTCAGCAATGCATTTTTCAGTGCCATATGTAATTAGACGATGAACTTAAGTCATAAGCATACTCCAGTGAAATGAGATCTACGTTAGTGCCTTCCTTCTGACACAGCAAGACGTTCAAAATTGAGCATAACATACCGGAGGGAATTCAGATCAACAGCTCTGCAGAAGACACTCCCAGATTTTGCAGCTGATGATCTCCAGAACTGCTGTATAAGCAAGCAGAAGTCTCCACCTGTTCATGCATAAATAAGATTAAAAAACCCAAACAGATGGTGACTTAATGCCCAACTCCATCCCCAAATGACATTACACAAAATGAGGAACACGCCTTGCTTTAAACCCTTGCTTATACTGGAAAAATCTTCAAAATCGGTTGTCTGTAAGGACAAATTATTGCCATTCCGAAGTACTGTACTCATTTGGTGATATCACTCTAGAAAGGAAGACATCCAACTTTAACTACTGATTATAGGCCCAGTGTTCAATGGGATCAAGCAACAACTGAATGTGCAGAGAGAAAGTGGAAACTTCAGGCCCAACGCCTCAAACAATCCAATCCGAGGAATGGAGGAACAAACAGCCGTCCATCTCCCCCATACCCCGCCATCGCTTGAGACGGCCTCCTCTGAAACTCGTGGCTTATTTAACACACACTTAGTCAGGGCAGTCTGCCTTCGGGACAGTAACACCCACCATGCACCACCACTCCATCGTTCACCCTACCAGAGCGTTAAAACGCAAGCCAGACAAAACTGCTGCTGCTATTCAAGCAGCTTTAATAACATGCCTTATGCTAACGATGCTTCTTTAAAAAAAAGCACGAGCTTGTCTCCGCTCTCCTGGTTCCCCTTCCCTCAGCTTCTACTGAAAGGCCCAGTGCCTCTCCCTCCCCACATAACAACATGTCCTACACCAGCCAAGGGAATCTCCCTCTCTGGCTGTGCGCAGCAACACATCCCTTTGCATCTGGGACCGGGGAGAACGGCCAGGCTTCCCTCTCCGTTTCACAGAGGCAGCCAAAAGGAGGATTTGCTCCTGTGTATATATTGCGTAGTAGCAGTGAACTTCCCTTGCGCTCTGGCTTTGCAAGAATAAGCCTACCTTGCTGCTCAAAATGGGTTTCCTGCTGTGCAGGAGCCTCTGAGAAGGTCCCAGAGCATGCAGCAGCACATCACTGTCTCAAACTTCAACCATCCCACCCTCCTTCACAGACTTCACAGTTCACCTAGAGCAATGTGAAACTTCACCCTCCTAAATCAGTTCACTCCATTTCTGTTCTAAGTCACAATTTACCACCTGAATCTATGGTAGGAAACGTTGAAGGGCGTTTTTCCTCTTCAGAAAAATACTCCACCATCTTCCACTGCCCTTCTGCCCAAAAGAAGGAAAAAACCCTACACAACCACCTCAAGGTTGTTTCAGACCGATTAAAACATACCCAGTTCAGAACTTCATTTTCTTACCAATGAGTAAAACTGGAAAAATCATATGGTGCTTAACAAGATCCAAATGTTTTGGTCCATTTTTAGAAAAGCCAAAGCAGGGAAATGGATTTGCATCATCCTCATGGTGTTCCCATTAGCAAATACACAGTAGACTTCCCCCTAGCTGCAGAAGATGGGTCCCAATTCATCCCTTTAAGGTCCCTAAGCAGCTGGCTGGTAGCTGTGCCACAGGCAGACACATCCTTCTCCAGACACAGATACACTCAAAGATGACAACAGACCAAAGGGGCACAACATCTGAACCAGTCACACAACTCCTCACTAGCCTGCTTTGGTCAAAATAAGACCTGGAGTTCAAACAAGCCCAGCTCAGTTGGTCTGAACAGATTAGCGAAGCAAGCGCATGAGCAGCTCAGACAGCAGAGCCCAGTGTAATGCCTGCAGCAGCTGGAGGAGAGCTCACATAATCACATCTCCGGTGCCTAACGCATCTGGAAAGAATCAGGTTCCTTGTAAAAACACAGGTTCCGCTTCCATTCTTTCAGCATAACCCTGATGACCAGCAAGTCTTTTTAGAGTGGCAGACTGTTTTGGACCTAAGGGTCTGGTATCAGAAACATCCAGACACTTAAGTATTTTCTCAGTGCTACAGGATCTCCATACCTTTAAACCCATGGGCCTAAATGTCTGACCTCCCAATTAGTACTTCATGTAGAATGGTATGCAATTTTAAAGCCAGCTTTTACAGAAGGTTTGAAATAGGTGTTATTTGTTCAAATCTGTACTAAGTCAGTGTTATTTCATTTGTATTAAAGCAAATGTGAAGTAACAGTTTGACCAATTTTATTACTTCCCTAATTGTGTTAGTTTTAAATAAGAATTTTGTACTATGTAAGAAATTTGAAAAGACAAATATGAAGTTCCACGTGAAGCCAGCATCACACATTTTGCCTAACAGGAAATACACCCTTATCAGATATTTTAAAGCTTGATGTTTTCAAGAAGAGCTTAATTTGTACTTATGTTTCAGAGTTCGCATGTTCACATGAAGCTTTCAGACATCTGGATTCCAGTTCAGGGTTTATTTGCATACAAAAATATATTATAATGGAAAAAAGCATTAAAAGTTCTCCACTATATAAAATTACAAATATATTTTCATAAAAGCAACTTTAAATTAAAATTCAAGCTATATTTTAAAGCAAAATACAGCTGTAACACTTAAGTTATCCTATTCCATCTGCTGCAAAGTAACAAAACTGATGTTGCCAGTTAAATACTTGTAGGAGTTTACAAAGGTTATGTTCAGAAGGTGAATATCTGGGGTAGGAAAGTTATCAGACAAGGGCAGCAGTTCAGTGACTGATGTCACTTATCCTTCAGAGGACATTCATAGGCAAGCACAATGCCAAAGATTCATTTCACATACCTGGAAATACAAAACAAGATCATTAAGTTCTATATTAAATAAGATTGCATGTTGTTGACATACCAGACACCCCATCTATGCCCAGCTTGCCAGACTGCCTGACAGGCCAAAATTATGCCTTTTTCTAATTAACACAAGAGCCAAAAGGTTAGTGTGTAAAATTTAAGGCAATTACTGTTCTAATGAGTGCATTAGGCTTGAAACGACATGTGTACAAACTTATGTGTAACTTCAAGCATATAAATACAACTCCTTAAAAACGCGATGATAAATATCAGATGGAAGTTGGGACTTTTTCCTCAGAATATCCATGTATGATAAAGATAGCGTATCACTAAGACAAGCGACACTGTATAAACGAGACTGCTGAAATAACCAGAGATTTGCTTAGTTGGGAGGAAAGAAAACAAAACCAAAAACCACTACAGCAGGTGGCAATCCCTGGCTTCACCTTAGATGTGCCTTGCAAGGGGACAATGAAACCAATATACTATAGGCAGCCCCTTAAGAGTTAGCTGCAGTATGGCTGTGCAAGATACAGCAATGTAAATATCGGGTGGTTTGGAGGTTTCATCGTTCTACAAAACCTTCAAACATTTAAGTTTTTCAGAAGAGCAATCAGTCAATGAGGTTTCAGTGGTAAAGATGGAGTTAGCTCAAGCGTGTGTCCATGACAGAAGTCAGGAAACTAGAGATCTATTTTAAGTAAGAGAAGTGAAACCAGGATTAAGACACAAGTAAGACGACAGGGAAGTAGGAAGCTCATAAGGGCAGCTGTCTTGAGTTAAGTCCAAGGCAGATGGCCAAGGCTTCGAGAATTACAGGGAAGGGAAAACACCTAATGAATACAAGAAACTCTCAGTTCATAGTTTATTAGGGGGGTTTTGTTCATGCTGCTACTTAGGTATAGTCCTACAATTGGTTGTTTTAGGCTCTATAGTCTGGTTCCATACAAAAAAACCCAAACAGTATCATGTTGATAAGAGCACAGGAAGAAGCAGAAAGAACAGGCAGAGTCCATGGTTGAGAATAGGAGGGCGTTTTCTTGTTTTTGTTGTTTTTCATTAAAAATCATAATGAAGAACCTAGTACTGTAACTGGTAAATACAATTTCTAGATAGTGACAGAAAAAGTGATCTAAATTCCATTCAAAACAGGATTTTGACATTTAATCTAAGTCAATAGATATCTGCTCCTTAATTCTTTCATAAAGCAAAGTCTAGAATAAAAAGGTTTCCCTCACCTACAGTTACTCCTCCAGTTACTTAGCTTTATAATGAAGAAACAAAACCCCACTTCTTAGCTGGGTTTTGAGTATTTAAGAAAGTGATGTTTACTTGATCTATACACTGCCAAGGAGAGGTGAATTGCAGCTGCCTCAGAGGTGGGAACGCAGGTTCACTGGAGTACAGTGTTCGTCACACAAGCTAAACTGCACGCCTTCAGCATTCAGGGAAAGACCAGAATTTAGTCTATTTTACCTTCTTATCCACATAATGATCCACAGGACTAGCAAACTAAAATGAAGCCATGTTATATAAAACTACTGCTACCCTTCCCTTCTCCCTCCCCCCATACATTGGCTTTCATCACTCTTTGACGGTACCAAGTGAGATGCAGCCTACTTATAAAAATCTACTTACTTGCTAGTGTCCTGTCAAGATCAGCAATGAAGTCTTCCAGTTCTTTTGTGTCTCCAAGCTTTGCTGAAAAATAAGAGACAGTCAATACTGCTTAGACAAGACATATTTCTCCAGCCAAAAGAAACACTGGAACCACACAATCCCCCAAATCATTTTCATGGTATCAAACATGCTGTGGATTATTTTCAGGGAAGTTCAATAGGGTTGCTACAATGTCCAAATGCATTCTTAGAAAACAGGGGAGACTGAATTAAAATTCTAGTTTTTACAGTTTTCCATTTGACAGAAGCAAAGCAATCCTCTGTTAACTGTATGTCAACTAATCTGTGTCCCTGCTACTGTGGGAGTCTGCCTTATTGCATGTGTTTAGATATTGCATTCATGGCCCTAATCAAGCCCCACCCAGTTAGCTCCCAGTCCCACCCAAATCTAAGCCTCTTAAATCATGTCAGTGTCACTGTCTTGCTGTGATATCAGATCGTTTGATCTTGGTCCATACACTATAAATTTGGATCCAAACATCCACCTAAACTTCCATGCCTGAGAACACCACTGGTTCCATTCAATCTAGTTCTACTGCAAGTGGCTTCCTTATCTCATTCCTGTGGTCTATTCCAAGCCCATTGCAACTCTATTTTTGTCTTTTTGTCTTCTCATCAGGAAGAGTGTATTGACCTCTAGTGTAATTCCTTGCCAAGTATTCCCTCCCAGTTTAACTGAACTCTTTTTTGCTGCTTCTTATTAACTATTACTCATTATTTCTCCCTAGTATCATGCTAATCAGAAATAAAGCATTTAACTTGTCTTTTGTGACTGGTCACTCTGGAAAAGACATGAAAGCGTGAAAAGCTCTTGAGCATGCATCTGAGAAGACTAGTTGTAATGAAAGCACCGTGTAGTACATATGTATGATTGTTCATTTATTGATATGTCTACTCTGGAGTTAATCTAATCTAAGTTAACCTGAATGAAACAAGCTCCTGGGGAGTTAGATCAGCTGCAAGACAGAAGCCACTTTGAAACAGCATAGCTACAAATGAGGAAGAAATTACTAATACATGGGTTGTATCAGCAGTGCAAGGTCTAGATAGATCTGACTAATTGTGTTAACTTGAATGGCAGCATATAGCTTCGGAGGAGTCACCTACCGAACCCCTGCATTCAGGCTAAGTATTTCTGTATATACATGGGACATTTAAGCTACTGGTTGCTTCAGTAACACAAGTTAATTCTGAAGTATTCTGTAAGGAGTACCACAATTCCTGATCAACCAAAGAACTCTAATATAGTTTGGTGTTTCAGAATCGAAAGAGTTGCTGGGTCACCTGTGAAGAAGTGTGGATGCAGTGTGCTATTGCTGTTTGTCATCAACACAATACTTGCATCTATAGTGTGCTTAACAGTAAGCCCTTAGTTTTGTTGTCATTTTAAAAAAGAGTCAACGCATGCATGTGAATCCTGGCTCACAGAAAGAAGCCTGTATGGTTGAGAATTAGGAAGAAACGTCAGCAGTTAAAATTAAGTTTACCTTTACATGGAGTTACTGATGGAGATGGCAAGCTTGGAGTAGATGCTGTTGGAGAGTTAAGCTTTTCATCACTGAGGCTGAAACTATTTCTGTAGAGTGAATCTGCACCTGTAAAAAGAGTTACATTATAAAGTAAAATTAACAACTGCTGCAATTTTGCAATAGAATTAAAAGAGAGAAATGGGACATTTCCTACCTGTGCTTCAACATCTGTACAACTCAAATTTACAGACTTTAAAGCCAGAGGGACAAATATATCATTTATTGCGTGAAGGCTGTTGTTCCCACATCTACTGTTAAAAAGCAAGCAGTCCTAGGCCCAATCCTCACCCCCCAGTAAGGCAAGTGTCAGCTTTCCCTGCAGTCAGCACCATTTGGAAAATATTACAGGAATGGCCATTATCCCACATCCACTAAATTAGGCCTGGTATGACCTGCCTGATTCACAATATTCTGGGAAATTCTGTTTACCTGATTTTTTCAAAAGCTATTAAAAAAGCTGAATAAAGAGCTTCAGGACAAGAACAGTCCCCCAGAACGGAGAATATATTCAGTGTTGTCCTCATCCCTGAAGCAAACTCACCCAATTTCTCCATACTCTGCTGCATTAGGTCTTGTGTTCTAGATAAATTGTATGGCATCTTTTAATTTTCTTTTATTCTGTAACTCCCTGGAGTTCACAAAGCAGTAAATCTGTACATAAGATGATGTTCTGCAATCTTATTTTAGGTGGTCTTTCAGAGAAAGCTTTTATATGCCATGGAAAGCAATGGGAAAGGTTCCAGTATCATTCTGATGTTTTGGGATTTTAGACAAGGCCTTAAGTTTCCAAAGTATCAAAAAAGTATCTTCATCTTGCCCTTTTCATAAAAAGAGTTCCACAATGCACAGTGCACACAAAGTATTAGTCATGGCTCCACTGGAAGGAAGGAATTGTCATTGTGTTAGAGACACTAAAACTGCTGGTTCCTGCAGTTTTCAGCCAGTGACCTGAAAACAGTAGTTCTACAAAAAGAAACCATTGTAATATGAATATGGCAACGGTCTCCATTTATTTGGCACATTTCCTAGGAAATAAACTTATGTCTCATTATATGGGGTGGTGACTACCACTGCTTGACAGCGAGGCCAACAATTTCACCTACCTGTGGCACATGTAGCATTTGTCCTTGGAGCCCCAGCCTAGGAGGTGGTTACACTGCATTAAGTCCAACCAAGTCAGAATTGTCACACTGCCTTGGACACCTGTCCCATTTGCTAAGCCACGAGATGACTGCCTTAGTTAAATTAAGGGTGTCTTGCTGAATTAGCAAAAGGGGCAGGACCACAGCTCGCCTTGCCAAGATCTGCACATCTACACCTTCACTGACCACTGCCACAATTTTTGCAGATATCAAACGTAGGGACCATCCCCCAGCTGACTACTCCTCTACCATAAGTTTCACCTGTCTTTGGGAAGAAGAGCATGTGTCTACACCCCATCTCCTCTAGCCTGCAGCCCTTACCAGCATAAAACCACCTTCTACAGGAGTACACAGGTACAGTGGAAATCAGACCAGACAGGACAACTGCATCTACTAAGTCTATCAGATGTTTCCTCAGCCGTAGGCTGATTGTCTAGTCCTTTCTTCTGTGCTAGCTTCCAAGCCTACCTCTGTTGCAATACACACTGAAGAGGCTTGTGTGAGAAGCTTCAGCCTGGAGTATTTTCCTCTTCCACATGCACGTTGGCCCACCACAGTACTGCTATCTTTCACAGTTCGCTCTGCAATCAGCTCAGATCCTATTCCAGCCAATGCACATGCTACCTGCAGGACTGCGCAAACGTGAGCGATGATGTGAATGACATCTGTTACCTGGGACTACTGCTTGCCCAAATCAGCCACTGCTTGGTATTTCTTGTTTAGAAAGAGGGGTATGCTTCTTCATGCGAGCTTTTTATTGTCATTTCTTTGTCTTCACTCGTAAGTACCTGTTCTCCTCTCTAAACCTGAGCAGATCAAAACCCATCTACTTGAAGCTTCAGATATAAGAAAGATTTGAGGAATACAATGCAAAATTGAGATAATTTTAGATAGAAAAACAGAAAAATAAGCTATTTTAAAAGTAGCTCCTAAAAACATAAAGAGCAGTTGGGGGGGGGGGGGGGGGGGCTGAATCTGACACTGCTCTGCAATGATGTGTGTCACCAGTGTTGTACTACAGAATATGAACCCTGTACATTAATGGACTGAAAGTAACAGTTAAAGGTATTGCAAACTTCCTCCTGAAATCAGCTTACAGACCAGGTTTCTACTAGAACCACATTTCTTTTCAGCCGAGATGCAAACCTTAGTGACCAAGAAAGTTAGAATGGAAAAATCTAGCTGTTCAGGACAAAACCCCTACCATTACAAAAAAGCCAAATAATTCTTAACACCTCACACAAACACAAACAGTCCTGTAGCCAAGAGCACATCTCATTGAAACGCTGACAGACAAGACCAAAGATAAAACACTGTCCAGGTAATGTATTTGAAAAGAACAGAACAAGAACTTTCAAATGATTTCATATTTTAAAGGTTTTAGAGCTAGTTGAATTAATAAAAAATAATCCAGAGAACAACAGTTACAAAACTGAGTGTATTTTTAATGTGGAGTCTATGTTACTAGTATCCAGATACCAAATGTAGCGATGCTGGGAATTTATATTACAAACCAATCCTCCTTGCACACCAAATTCAAAGCTCCAGTTGATCTTATATATAGCTGGAATAAAAAGTTCTTTTTGTGAATGCTTGTGAAGGCAACTCAAATTACAAAAGCTTTAATAAGCCAAATTGATTGCAAACTATTCACACAATTCTTTTTATTTATATCCATGTACACATCTGAGCTAGCAGTCACCTTGGCCTCTTTTTGTGGTTTTCTCTCCGTGTTCCTTCTATAAGCAGTTGAAAGTACTGACTGGCCAACTTGCAATGTATTGAAACCAGAAAATGTTATTTCATGCTGGCTTCCACACACCTTATGCTGGGAAATGTTTACAACTGGGCAAAGAGAAAATAAGACAGAACTGTTGCTTTAAGTATCTGAATGTTTTTTGTCCAGTTTCAAAAGGTGAAATGTTTTCACGAAACAGTGTTATCTTCTGATGGGTTGTAATATTAGTTTCAGGAACATATCAACATTTATCTTCCTCAAAAAGCAAAAAAATACTTTAGCTACTGGCTTCGGCTCACACATGCCACCAAGCAGCAGAAATTCTGGTGATGGAAGGAGGAATGCATTGACTCCGCTATCAAGGTCATTATAACTGCTGAAAACAATGTACTGTTAAAAATAAGAGTTGTGATATCCATCGCACAAAAATATCCGCTTTGGCAGAGCGTGGCTGCAGGGCAGAAAGCTCTGGGAAAAGGACACTTCAGTCCTTGCTCTCTACCCGCTGCCACAGCCAAGATCTGCTCATTCACCTCCAATAATGGCCCTTGGAAGGCTTCCACTGCCACACAAATACAACATCCCCCGCAACCCAATGACCAGAGGCTGAACCAAGGATCTCTCATCGCTGCTGTCCTTCCTCATCCAGCCCCTCCTCTCCACTGCAGTGCAAGTTTATCCATCATTCGTGACTTATATTTCACTTTGTATTTTGATTCTACTGTCTGTGCACATATATAAACTATGCCCCTTTGCCTGTTTTAAAAAATGACTCAAACTGTCTCTTTAAAAAAAAGGCCTTAAAATCTGAGAGTTAAGCTGCTGAGTTGATTTACATGAGTCAAACTAAACCAATAGCTGCAAAATTAGGGGGTTGGAATAAATATGGGTGTATTTTACTTTGGCAAAGTAATCTGTAGTTAGTATTGACCTTTGCTGTTCCAGTATATGGCTAAACCACAAAGAAAAACCACGGCAATACCATGTAAATATAGAATGTCCCCATGAAATGAGCAATTGAAAGGTTCTGGGCGGTAATTAACTGAAGGAGGAAAACCTAACCTTTTCATTTAGAACAGACAACGGAAAAGTTCAGCTGCCTGACTTCTTTAATATTATGCTCTTTCTAGTACCATAGTTTAGGATACAATTTTAAAGAGCACTGGAGTGAGTAAAATTTTTACTGCAGTTTTCAGTGAGGAAAGTTTTAGAGGAAAAAAATAAATCACAGCCCTAAAGTTTTCAGAGGAGAGGTCTAAAATTCCACTTAAGTTTCTACAAGCCATGAATTTATTATAAAACCATAGTTCAGTATTTAATGAACAGACTGCACAACTCATTTCTAGTCAGAACACAGCCTACTTGCTAAAATAATAAAAAAGATAAAATCAGGAATTTCTAATGCCAACAGTAGAAGTGAGAAATATTCACGATGCAAAGAGCTTGTTTCATAACATGTATGCTGCAGCCCTCAAGGACAGTGTGATTATTATCATAATTATTATCACACTTACACTTGGCTGCACTGTTTATTTTTTGTGTTTTTTTGCCTAGCTAACAAACATCTGTTACAACACTGACACAAAAATGACACCTTTTCCCTATCTACACGTCCAGGCTTCATGATTTCAAAGATTTCAAGTCACATAGTTACAAGGAAGTTATCTAGGAAGCCTGAAATTCATATGTACAAGCATGCCTTCTCATTAGATACAACGCTTACCTTTCCACTTCCTCACCACACCTACTATCTGTGAGGCAGTGTTTCCAACTCCAGCTTTCCCCTTTACTAATGCTTCCTTTCTGAAGCGTAAGAGAAATAGGTATGCTGGAGAGGTAAGAACAGGAAATCTTAAAAAAAGCACATTTCTCATTAAATTGAAATACCTGGAGAGAAGCCTATACACCTGAAACTTCTGGGGTTTGTTCCTTTTGAATGTATCAGTAATTTAATAAAACATTATTTCTCAGATGATTTCATAAAAGGTTATTTCTCCATGAGAGTCTTGCTTCATTTTTTCATTATGAATATTGTATTGCCTTCTTGTTGGAGACAGGCCATTAGAAGTTCGCAAAAACAATCTACCTAAAGTGTTTTCCCCTTCATCATACAAGACTGCGATTTGCTGCTAAGACCAAAGGCTCACCTACCCCACATTCTATCTCCCATAGCAGAAGCCTACAGAAGAGTTTAAGAGTGGTGCAGCCATACGCTGATAGTTTCAAGAGAGACTCTACCAAGTTCTAGAGATGCACAGATCAATCTTTCCTAAGACAGCAGTAGCATCTTAGCCCACAGCAGTCCCCAATGGCCCCATCCCTCCCATCGTGATTTTTATCTAGTTAGTTTTTGAGTATGTAAACTTTTAACATCCACGATACCTTAAGGCAACACATTTTACAGTTTAACAATACATCATGAGAAGAAATAGCTCCTCTTATTTCCTTGAAACATGCTGATTTGATTTGATTTCCTCATACTGGGTGAGGTAGCAGTCACTTTCCTAATGTCACTCAGGATTTTCTGGAAGACTAGCTTGTCCCCATCCAAGCCATCTCTCCTTTGGGCTGACAGTCCCAGTCTATTTGGTCATTTGGAAACTATTTTATTTCTTAAGTCATTTCTGTTGCCTTTTTCTATACCTTCTCTACAAAAGATTGCAAATGTAAGCAGGCTTTTCAGGAT